AATGTGTTGACATCAGGCGCTATACCATCCTTGAGAATAATCCTATGTAAACGCATATTCCTGGTATGAATCATAATCCTGACATCGGGAATAAGTTGATGTTGATGGCCTGTTGGCGTTGCCGTTGTTGCAACCGCCGAGTACGAATTGCATCCGTGCCGCCATGACGAGGGACTCGACGTCCGCGTCGTCGTCCAAGGCGCACGCGGACCCGGCGACCGAGGCGAGCGACCGCGATGCGCGCGTGAACGTGCGGCGCTAGCGCATCGAGGCGCGCAACGCGTCCAAGGATGACGCCTCGCGCAAGAAGCAGCTGCAGGTGGGCGAGTCGCAGCGCATGAGCCGCGGCTAGCAGCAGGTGGCCGACAGCCTCAACCAGCTGGACCGCCGCAAGCACGCGGGCATCCACCACCGCGTCGAGGAGGAGGAGCGGCGTCACCAACTCGAGTCACTTTATCCTACACGTCGAGTCCAGTATGATGATGATCTGCAGGATGATGAAGAGTGCCGACGCCACGCGCGCTATGTCCACGTATCCGGTGAAGAAATCTACCCCCACACACTCACAACAATTTAGCACTGTGCAGTACTACGATCTGCTCTACCTCCACAGAAGTGACCTACCATTGGGGATGAAGAGCGACGCCAGCACCATGCCAAGGTAGAGCGGCAGCTGGAACAGCAGCATGCAGCAGACACTCTCGCAGCCTCTGGCCACGGCACAGCTCAGCAGCGCCGTGAGCGTGAAGAAGCAGCCCAGGCTGAAGCTGATGCGGTAGACCAACTGGTTGCCCACGCAGGTGCTCGGGTACGCCGAGTCGTCGCACTCGTCGAAGACGCCGAGTCTCGACAGAACGTCTGCAGCATTGAAGGTATCCGTCGCACTCGCTCAAGTATACAAGGACAGAGGGGATTGAGGGTGTGCTGATGCATACTCTGGCCGAAGGTGCGCAGCAGCCCTGCGGCCGCGGCGCTCACGAAGAAGAGCGCGACGTAGCCGACTCGGGTCATGACGATGGTTGAAAGAGTTCTGAAAAATGAGTCAGCGTATCAACGCCTTAGTTTCGAATAAGTATACACTCGTGTCTTATATTGGTACTGTGCATCTGTGCTGAACTAACTGTTTGGGTTTGCAGTGTACATTTCCAGGAGACAAATGCGCAGAAGCGTGCTGCCCCTGTTGCTCGGATCCTGCACCGCTCAGTCAGCGGCAACACGGAGGGCGGCAAGAAGGCCACAAAAGGCACCAGCTCGGCTGCGCTCAAGGCCAGAGCCCGGAAGGCGGAGAAGGAATACTGGGCCAACATCGTCAAGGTGTTCCCCGCCCAGAAGATCCGCGTCATGGCTACACTCGAGAAGGGGCTGACGCACTACAACACGGCGCTGCTGCGGCGCAAGGAGCTGATCGACGAGGTGACGGCCATGAAGGCGCAGAACGCAGAGCTCAAGAACCTGCTCAAGCAGTACCTGGCCGCCCCCATCAACGAGGTCCTCATCGTGCCGCCCACGCAGATGCAGCTCTACCAGTGACAGGCGAAAGCGAAGTTGAAGTGCTACTTAAGCGAAATGGACTCACAATACCCATGCAGAGCAAACATCAGCAATGTCTGCAGCGACGAACCTCAACGAACTGCTTGATGACTCGGATGACGTCCTCCGGGCCGACCATAAGGCCCCACGATGTCTTGGCCCCGTCCTTGCCGGGTGAATTGCCCTCCCGGTTGTTGTCACCACTACCAGGAACCTCTTGTCGCGGGTCCTCGAAGAAGTACCCCATGAGCTTCTCCATGTCCTCCTCGTTGTCGCGCGCACGATCATGTTCACAAGCTCCGCCTCGTCATCGGGCAAATTCTCCAGCGCTTGCTGCACGCTGCCGTTCACCAGGAAGCCAGCCTTGGACGCGAGCATCTTCAGCATGTACTTGAGCTTCGCGCCCGATATTTTCTTGACTGGCGGCGTGTAGGCTTCGACCGATTCGTCGTCGAAATCGTCCTGGTCGGCGTTGGCGCCATTGTCGTCTCGCCTGCTGCCGCCCTTATCGCTCTCGTTGGAATCGGGCGACGACTCGTCTCCGTTCTCGAGCTGCTTCTGGAGAGCTGCCGCATCGCCAGCCTTTGCAGACTGACTCCAATTACGGATGGACTGAGCCGGTGGCCGCCACGCGAGGCCAAGCTGCTGCTCGTGGATGATGCGATCGGCGTCCAGCAGCTTCTCGATCTTGTGAATCGCGTCCTCCTCGTGCATCTGCCACACTTCGTCGTACTTGTTGCTGTCGCTGGTTTCGAAGTGCGCGTACTTCCGCTGCAGGTCGAGGTACTGGTTCGTGAGGCGCCGATACTCCTCCGTGAGCTCCTCGTTTTGGTGTCGGTCCCGAGCGTCGGTCTGGTTGTACTTGGCGATCAGAGTGGCCAGCGCGTCTTTCAGTCGAGACAGCCTCCGCTTCTGCTGACTGAGCGTGGCCGAGTTCAACATGTCGCGCTCCGTCAGCACTCGGTAATTGTACTCGAGCCTCTCCGTGTTGAGCTGGTACGTGGCGCGCATCTCTTCGAGCTGCTGCTCGAGCGTCTGGATGTTGGTCTCGAGCTTGATCTTGAGCTCGTTGTAGTCCTCCGCATCGCGCACTCGCAGCTCCTCGATCTCCTGCAGATACTGCTCGTCGCGCGTCTGCTTAGCTTCCATGTAGACCATCTCCATCTCGCGTCTGCGCTCGAACAGCGAGTCGATCTCGAGCTTGTTGTTGGCGATGCGCTCGTCGCGCTCCTTGAGGAAGGCGTCCTCCATCTGCTCGAGCTCGAGCTCGTACTCATCCTGCATTTACCGGTACTGCTGACTCATCCGATCCACCAGCTTCTCTACCTCTTCGGCCTGCACCTTGAGCGCCGCCACGTACTCTTCGTCCTTGGCCTTGAGCTGGTTCTGGAACTCGCGGATCACCGCGTCCCTGCCAAGATCTCGGCGCACGCCCGGTTCTGCAGCTCCAGCTCGTTCTGCAGCTCCAGCTCGTTGTGCAGCTCCTGCGGCATGCTGAACTCGAAGAGGTCGGCCCAGCGCATCTCCACGGCGGCGTTCTTGGCGCCGCTGTCGACGGCCTCCTGCTGCAGCTTCTGCACGCGCTGGTGAGACCAGGAGACGTTGGTTGCCTCTAGCGGAGATTCGCCTGAGGCTGAAGGTGCCCGCATTGTGTAAATGGCTCAAGTAGAACTACAGTACAATTCTTTCGCATTTGTCAGACTACAGGATGCCATGAACGCATCACTTCCCAAAATTCGCCCCGGCACAATTCGCGACCTTTCGCGAAAGTTACTCAAACTCAGTAAGCTGCGACAAACTGATCCTGATTCAATCCAAACTCAGTGAGCTGCTCCATTATAATATATAGAAATCAGAATATTACACCGTAATGTACTTGGTGAAGTTATATTAGACACTCCCGCCCTATCCACTCCAAATCGGGTGGTAAATAGGGAGCATCAACCTTTATGCTTTAATGCGTTGAAGTTGGCTGCAACCACTTTTCATCACGACTCGGAAGTCGAAGAGCACGACGTTCCAAGCGCGAGGATGATAAAGACACTCGTGGAGCCGGTGAAGAAGGAGAGGGCGAGGGGCAGCTCGGTGGATTCGACAGCGCTCACGCACGAGGGCGAGTTCATCACTGTGCACTTTAGGGGCAAAAAGCGCGAGTGGAAGTGGCAGTACTTCAATCTACTACGCCAACTCACCGCCAAGCCTTATCAACCGATGGAGGCGCAAGGTTCGCGGGCAGAGCTGCTCTGTCCGCAGCATTCAACTGGCCGAGCAACTGCTGGATGATCTATTAAGCAGATGCGAGGGTGACTTTGCTCTGTTGTTGTGGAGGTGGTGGCATTTTACCGTTTGCAAACGGCTGATGAGCCTGATTGAGCGCCGCCAGCCTCGCTGAGCTCTCCGTTTCGTTCAACGCGTACTCCATGATCGCCTCCAGCCAGCGCACTTTCAGATCCGCCTTCATTCGGGAGATATGCGCCCCGGGGTCACTAAGATCTGGAGGTGCGCTCTTCGCTGCTGCGACCGCGTCTTTCAGGTCTTGGATCCTCTTCTTGTAGCTGTCCGTTGGGTGTTTAAAGTTGATCCGGTCAATCCACGCCGCCCTCTCCTCTCGCGACAGCATCTTGAACAGCGTCTTCAGCATCTTGAGACGAATAGCGGCGACATACTCAGAGTTGACGTCTAGTGGTGAAGCAGGCGTCCTTCTGCTGCCCAAGTCTTGCACTACTGCCAGAGCCTTTGTCCATTGTCCATCCAGAGGGAAACGCGCCCAGCACTTGTCAATGAGCTGGCTGAGTTCCTACTCTTCCAGCATCAACAAGAACGTGTTGGATACAAGCTGCAGTAGTTGGGCGCTGGATAAGCTGTGGTGCCGCAGGTAGTTCAGCATGATAATCTGGAAGCGCTCGATCGATGCTGCTGTGGACGACTGGGACATAGATCGCCCGTCGGTCGTGTCTTCTTCGATCTCAATGTCAAAGTCCGACGCGTTCACGCTGGCTCGTCGTAGCTTCCGGGCCTTGCGCTCATTGTCGTTCTTCTCGTACTCTTTCGACAGCAGAAGCCACTGCTCCTCGCGTCCAGGTCGCTCAAGAAGAAAACCCCCATGTCGGGGCTCAGCAGCTTCAAGAAGAACACGTCCTTGGGACTAGGACGCGGCACCATCTCACCTCTCGTCCGGTAGATCTCCGACCCTGCCAGAGCACGTAGCGAGGTACAAGCGGAAGAGCGACTCGCCCGCATTAGGCAGCGCGTCCACGACAAGCTCCAGCTGATCCATGCCTTCAGTGTAGGTCAAGTATGCAAAAAGCACATCTTCCCGTGAAGATCGAAGTGCTCGGAACGAGTCGGCGTCTACCAACCCCACGATAGCACAGAGGATCATGTCTCGGCCGCTGGAGCTGAAACTTGCGGCGTTGTGAGTGATAGCGCGGCAGATCTGCGCACTCGTAGCGAGCGGAACATGTACAGGGTAGTCTGGATCATTGATCCCCATTTCTTTCCGTCTCAATAACAACAAACCTTGTTGTTCTTGCAAGGCATTCACAAGCTGATCCAGCTTGGCTGAGTTGGTGGCGTAGACCTTTGCGATCCCCGCTTGGACGTGAGCGAATGGAACGTACTGGAAGATTCGAGCCACATCATCCACGCTAACTGCTCGCAGCACAGTCGGATCCGTGATACTCCGACTTGCTAGAAGCGTCTTCTTCAGCTCGCGAACGCGCTCAAAGTACGGAGTGCGGGAGTAAAAACTCTGCACGAGCGCGAACATCGCGTCCGGCGAGGTTGCGTCCGTGACTATGGACGACAATGAGGCGTCTGGAAGGTAGATGGCGCCTTGGATCCCCGCCGACATTTTCTCCAACAACGTTCGGTAGCACCCAACGATGCCTAGCATCTTCAGCAGCGTGGCACAGCACGCTGCTGCTTCCACGGCATTCGGTCGGCCGACTTGCTCCACATATCCCTCCTGCACCTCGTCCAGCTTGACCTCAGTGAACATAGCGAACGAAGCGAAGTTGCCACGCTCCACTTCGTACGACCGGATCCACTCTTCAACCGTCTCGCCCGATGCCAGGTGGGCGTTCAACCGCTTCAACTGGATCACTTCATCATCCGAGTCTTCGAGAGCTCCTTTTGGTGCACGAGGTGAATCAGGATAACGGGATGGCGACGATGGAACAACTGGAAGATGCCGCTGCTGCTGGTAGTGTCGTGGATAGCGCGGAGACTCGCTCTCTAGAGGGTGAAGCCGCTCTCGAGCGTTCTTCTTGCGCTTAAAATTCTGTCGTAAGACACCACACGTGTGAGCTTCAACGAGTAAGAACTTTAGATCATGGAGGGATAATACACGTACCTTGATAGAACTCACGAGTCCGCTGCCGCTACCAAGTGTGCTCGAATCGCCAACAGCTTCAGCAGATCTCGGACTCAATGTATTCGGCGACACCGGAATATACACGCGCGGACTGGAACTCGATGCTGTAGGTGATGCTGCAGAAATCGCCGACACCTTGTCGGAGCGTGACAGTCCTGTACTGCCGTTCATGCCTCTCCCCCTCTCCTCAATGCAAACCTGTTCAACATAGCGCGCGCTCCAACGACTTGACGTCGAGAGCGCACGGCCGCTCTGCTTGTTAATTCACGGGCGTTTTAGAGCGTCACCACCTCAGCATAATTAGCACATCGACTCCGGACATTGGACATGTTAGGTCGGGTGGTGCAGTTCACCTACGATTTCCAGACCCCGTTAAACCTTGGCCGATCGATCGCCTCCTCAAATCTGTTCAATCAACGAAGCGTACGTATCACGCAGCACTTGTTCCAGAAGCTGTCGCTGCTCTTGGGGCTTTCCAGTCGCCTCTGCTGCCCTCCCTCTTGCTGCTGCCCGAGCCACTCTGCAGCTGTCTCTGCAGCTTCAAGAGGAAATGCACCAGCTCCGCGCTCGGGTCGGCGTTCTGCGAGCATGCGTGCACGATCCACGGCAACACTTCGCCCAGCAGGTTGACGTATCCAGCACTGTTCTCGCCCGAGCTTCCGACGCCGTTGCGAAACTTGTTCCAAACCACGCGCAGCGCCTACTGCATCGCCGCGCTTTGCTTGCTACCGGAGAGATGCGCGGCACACAACGAGAGCACCACGCGCAGTCGGAAGCGCCACTTGGGGAGGTCCTTCTCAGCACCTTCAGCCACGAACCCCATCAGCGGCTTCGTCCCCGGTGTAGCTGAGCGAGACGACGAAGAACCCGACGAGTTGGACGAAGTTGGTACCATCCAGTGGTCCCACATGAGCTTCATCGCCGGCATATGAGCCACTAACGTTGGTACCAGCGTAACATCGTACCCCTGCGTGTGCATCGCCAGCAACAATCGAGGGGGCGACGGTGAAGACACCTCAGCATCTGCAGTCAGCAGCTCATTGACGATGGTGCAAAGCAGAGCACGACTCTCCTCAGCCACTTCGTTGTCGCTGGACTCGGAGCTCAGCGGTTGCAATCGCTTCAGAATGCCGTGCGCCAGCAAGCAATCCTGGAGGGGCTGGTGCTGCTGCACACTGACAGAGGTAGATGCAGCCGCAGACATGCCCTCTACAGGCACCAAGCTCGGGTCACACTTGGTCACGTGGACGTTCGCCGCTGCTCGCACGTCGCGCACAAGTCCAAGTAGCACGCGCAGCAACGCTGGCTGGCGGAACACTCCCTCGTGGGCGTGCGGAATGGCTCCTCCAGTACCTGCATGTAGGTCAGTAGCTGCAATCTGCCTTGGTTTGTCTGCACTTTTTGTTGGCGCCAGAGTGCCTCCCGGAAGCAGAGCGCATGAACCAACCGCATCAATAGCGAGATACTCGCAGCTTGCTCGCGACGAGCCCGAGTCTCATAGAGCGAGGCTAGTTGCGCGCAGAATGCAGCCACTTGTCGACACGATGCTGTCGACTTTTGCGAGGCTTAGTACTGCGTACGGAAGGAAGCCATCTACCAGTACCTGCAACTCGCGCATGACAACTTCAATTGGTGCTGACTGCAGCTCCAGTAGCCTCTCAAGAAGATGACCACTCCGTTTCAAAATGAAAGCACGATTGGCGTCAAAATGCGCCCTTCAAATCAATTTTCAACTTTTTCGCGTAAAAATTGTACCACTTGAACTGCTGAAATCTCCTCTTCCAATTGATGTGCTAGTTTACCTGAACCGTTTAGAATTGACCTTTGTACACTAGAATATCGTATGGCTAGTACTTCTTAGTACTTCTCTGGTCCACCGTACTATCGCCATTTCATGAAAACTACCATAACTTCACTATTTCTACTTCGTTTTCGGTAAAATTACCACCAAGCGAAAGCTTATCTTTACTGCTACGAAACGTCTATTTCTAAGCCAATCGTTGCTCGCGTAGAAGAAGATAACTTGACTTTTCGCGACAAGATTTTGGACCCAGTGAGGTTTTTTGTCGTAGTTCTCTGAATATTGAGCGATATTCGCTGCGACTCTCAGGTTGGAACTCGGAAATAACTTAGAGCACGTGAACAATGTTGAGGGTCTCTAAACGCTTGTATAGCGCGCAATGCGTTTCCTGCAAATCGAGGTTTAACCACCTGTTATGCTGAAATCCTCGCGATAATCAAATTTACTGACATCTGATTGGCTTAGCTTGAATTATGTGGACCACATTAAACCTCAATGGCGATAGTAAGGTCGACCAGAGAAGTAGGCTTTTCTCATCGAAAATGCCCAAGTCATCCGTGCTTTGAAGATGTCAGTAATCCCTTCCATACTCAAACCAAGTCTTATTTCATGCTATCTTTCTCAAACAACCTTCACGGTGAATCATGCTTTCTTTTTTAAACGGAGTGGTACACCATTACTGGATCAAATTGAGAATTTTCAAGATCAAAACAAGAATTGCTCAGATCAAAACAAGAAAGCCTCTATGATTTGGTACGCATAACAACTAATAACCTCTCTGTAAGGATATTTGGAGACGAGACTCCGATTTAGGGAGTTTATACGTCTCTCATATACACTCCGCTTTACTTCTTACATTATTTCTGAGAATGGGTTAGGATCGCAATTTAGAATCGCTCACGGGGACCAAAAAATGAAAAAAAAATCTCGGTTAAACAACATTTTGATGGCTATTAGAAGGTGGTATGGGCTAGTATCATCCTGAACTGAACCGACGTCACTATACTACAATGCCATAAAATCAGAGGGTCGAAGTTATGAAACAGCAAATTCGACCGTTAGTATGGAGGACATCAGAAATAGACTTAAACGTGACATTTTACTCTTATTTGGGCCCGCTCAGGGCCCTTTATTAAGCCTATTTGCCTGCTAAACTTTATGTCGTCGTAAAAAGGGTCGCTCTGCGGCCGCTGGGATCGTTTGGCCAGACGAGACCAAGCATTCAAGCAGAGACTCAAAGAAGTGCCAACGCTACGCTAAGTAGCAAGCAGCTTTCCATGCTGATGACCGGGTAGCGGTACGCGCCGTCGAGCAGCAACTCCTCTAGATTTTATTGAATGCTGTGCACTGGACGATGATCTGGGGCATACGAGCCGGAGTTCGTGTCGTTGCTTCTCGCTAGCAACAATGGCTCTCTTTTGGTCCTTCTCCAAGTCCTTCCTGCACGCTAAAGGCTCCGATTATTTGCTTCTTTCTAAGGCCTTAGTGTAATGGGCCTACTTTGGCTCACTACTTTAGCTTACACGTGTGCGCGCGTGTATGAGGAAACGTAGCTTAGTTTAATCTAGAGTTAATTATACTCGGGCCTCCGAGTATAGATTAATCTAAATAAACGCTCCAAATAATGTTTTTGGGTTAAAATGAGAACTGCTATTTTTGTTTTATGCTTTCTGACTTCTTCTAAATGTAATATTCTAAGTTAGGAATCTGCCAACGGCTGATTGGCAGAATTCCAATGCTATGCATGTCGCTCATTGGCTAAAATATGCTGCTTTCAGCCAATAGGAATCCTAAGTCTCTATGGACCACCCGTCGTGGTGATCGTAAATGTATCTAGCCTTTGGTGTGTCTACACCAAGGTCGAGAAAGTCTTTCGAACCTCTAACAGACGCCGGGTCTGTTAGAGTTACAAGTGGCTGTAGCCACTTTTGCGTGTAACCCTGTTACACCATCCCCCCATCAAGGTTAGACGCGCCGAGTCACGGCACGTCAATCAGGAAATTGACCATTCGTCAATTCTTCACGTTGGGAGAAAGAAACTCGAGCTCATTCCGCAAATGAGCTCACCGAAGAAGAAGACCGCCGCTGTAGCAGAGGAGAAGACCTCCACGGAGACAGAGAGGTTCTCTGTCCCCGAGTACTTTGAGCGTCACCAAGCAAAGCGTGACGCTCTTGCTGCCAAGACTGCGGCGGGGACAACCCAGCCGGAGATTGTCCTCGAAGGTTCCTCAGTAGTCAACGACGCCGTTGACTACGGGGACGGCGACGTGGAGATGGAAGAGGGCGGAGCCTCGTCAAGCAGGCGCAAGGAGTCTATCAACAGCGATAGTCTGGACCCGCACGCCGGGTCGAGACGCCCTCGTGAAGGAGACGGCTCGGACGCTTCGAGCTCGAAGCGTTCGCGCGGCGAGAGCAACACTCCGCTCTCTGCTGCTGGGGCTTTGAGTACCCCGCGTGATGTGGCGTCTTCAAGTTCTCCGCGCGCTGCTTGAGCAGCGCGCGATCCGTGGATGCCGTCTGCGTCAGAGATCGCAGACCGCGTGGGCAACACCGTGCCTCCAAACAAAATCCCGCTGTACGTATGCAGCGGCATCCACGACGGTGCTGTGGCGAAGGGGCAGCACTTTGATCCGTTAACGAATCAAAGGCGCGACTACTACATCGGGCTCTTCCACGAGCTCCGGTACTTCTCCAGCAAGAAGACCTCTTCTCGCAGCAAAGTGCCTGAGTGGCAGGCACTTTGTCAAAGTTGGAATGCTTTTGTTGAGAACTTCAACAAGAAGCCGGCTGCTTACCGTGAGCGGGTTAAGCACGCCCGTGAACGCTTCGAGACATTCTCGACGCGCGGGAGGTTGGAGCAGCTCCACAGATCTTCTGTGGACGCTGGTATTCCATGCGCTGTGCCCGAAGGCCAACAGTGCACGTTGTGTCTTCCGGGTACGGCGCGCTTGAGCGACCGCGACCTAAACGGGTACACGACGATTCGTGTACCTGCGAGTCTCAAGGATATCCGTGCCAAGTTCTTGGCACGTGAGGAACGCGACGATCGTGGGACCTCGGGCGCTGTAGGTGACCACAGTGCTCGCACTACCTTCGCGTCGGCAGTGCGTGGTGAGCTTCGTACGCCCTCACCATTTCCGGAACGTCCTGCAGCAGGACATCCCGTGGCTCCCATGTATCTTGGTGGGGCGGAAACCCTCTCCAACGAATACGATAACGAACCGGCTGACGGTTCGTTTTCGGGATACTATGGTTCACAATACGCTCAACAATCCAGCGTGTTAAGCCGCGGGCGTCGCAGATCGGAGGCGGCGGTGGTGGTAACACGCCCCGGGTATGATCAACCTGGGGTTGACCTTGGCCCGACGCTCGAGGAGCGAGTCGCTGCTGTGGAGCAGCTTCAGAGCCGTGAGTTCGCCGCTCTGAAGCAGGAGATGGCGACCCTGAGAGCTCAAGTTGATCAGGCCTCGCAGAGCGCGTCGGACATCTCTATCGACGTGGGAGGTCGCGTCGTGCGCTTGTCCCAACGCATTCACGCGCTGGAGCAGAGGTTCGCTTCCGCTGGGGCTTCCGCTTCGGGCCAGCCGAGCTAGGTGGCTCGTGCTGCCGGTATGGATTCAGCCGCCCGACGTAAAAGGTCGGATGGAGGCGCATGCTAGATGGAATATCTAGCGTGTAGACGTTGCCATGTCGTGCCAACACTATGAACGGCCCGATAAAGCGCGGAGCGAGCTTGCTCACCCCGAAGTCGGAAACTGCATGTTTAGGCAGGTTTTGAGTTGCTAACAAAACCAATGAACCCTTCTTGAATTCATTAGTGTTGCCCCTACCAACATTGACTGCGTTCAGCTTCTGTCGGTCGACAGAAGCTGCAATAGCGTCTTGGACAAACCGAATGACGGCTTGTCTGCGCTGCACGAAGTTGATTGCGTCCGAGCTGAACTCGTTCAGCTCGTTTCTAGCAGTAGGCCCGGCCTCTGCGTTCGTCTTCGCGGTGTCTGTGCCCTGCACAGACTCGTTCTTCTTCTTCTTCTTGCGCGTAGTCGCGGCTGACACTGTGCAAGTGTCAGCGGCATTCTGCGGCTGCTGTGTTGCAGTCGTAGATCCTCCCCACTTAAGGAAGGAGCCACCATCCCGAGTAGACTCGGGAGGCGTGCGTGCCTGATGGCATTCACGTAGAACGGTGTATGTCAGGTCGAGGCATGCACCGAGTTGTTGATGGCGAACTCCGTCATCGGCAGGCACTCGATCCAGTGTTGGAACGAGTGAGCGTAGCTCTTAAGCACGTCTACGAGCACGCGGTTCACGCGCTCGGTCTGCCCGTCCGTCTGTGGATGGTCCACAGTCGACATCGAAAGTTGTCTCCCAAGAAGTGTAAACACTTCTTGCCAAAGGTGTGCGGTGAAGCGTGGGTCTCGATCCGCCACAATGTCGATCGGCATGCCATGGTGTTTGAACACCATGTCGACGAACAGACGCGCCGTCTGTTTCGCAGTCACTTCAGCGGGTACCGCAGCAAGATGTACCATCTTGCTGAAGCGGTCAACGAAGACCACAACGCCCGTGTTCCCCTGGCTGTCCGGGGGAAGACCGAACACGAAGTCCAAAGACATGGACTGCCAACACTCCCGTGGAGTTGGTAGTGACTACAAGGGAGCCTGCGCGAAAGGCGCAGGCTTCACACGTTGACAAACCTCGCAAGCACGGACGTACTTGTGCACCCATTTGTACTGGTGGGCTCAGTAGAAGTCTCGCGTGAGAAGAAGGTATGTCTTCTCACGGCCCGGATGCCCCGCAGTCGGTGCATCGTGATACTCGTACATGATCCTGAGTCGCAGGTCATGGTCATTGGGCACGACAACGCGGTCCGCGTTGGTAGTAGACGACACGATCACGACTCTCGTGATCGTGCTGCATCAACGCACATCCAATTGCGAAGTCGGATGCGTCACACACAACGTGGAATGGGCGATCTTGGTCGGCCACCGCCAAGATCGGCGCCTCAGTCAAGCCCGCTTGACTGCATCGAAGGCCTGCTAACACTCAGCGGTCCAAACCCACTCGGCGTCCTTCTTCAGGAGCCGTGATAGCGGGCGTATCATGCCCGCGTAGTCCTTCACGTACTTGCACAAGTACGTGGCCAAGCCAAGGAACTGCCGCAGTTCCTTGACGTTCGACGGCGTCGGGCACTCATTGATCACTCTGACCTTCTCAGGGTCAGGGCGGACACCGTTCCTAGTATAGACTGTAAACGGAGTATTGTGTCCACTTTTAAATTTCCCTCGATATAAGAACACTCACAATCTATTTCTACTCTTCTAGTTAATTTGTTTATAATTTTCACATTCTTCTCTTTATATCTTTCCATAACTTCTTCTTTATCATTTCACCATCAACCTTTAATTTCACAACAACCATTAAAATATGTTTCGATCAAGTCTTAACATGCTCACAAGTCAATAAAAAATCGTCTACAAAGCTAATATTTTCTTAAGTTAACGGAGCATTGTTTCCACTTTTTATTTTCTTAAGTAAGTGGTCATTCAAACGTTTTCTATCTTAAGAGATAAAATCTTAAGTATAATAACAACATATCATACGATCAACCAACCAACAACAACCAACAATGACTGCTCTATCATTCAACTCTAAGCATGCAACTCTTGAGAAGATGCTTAAAGAAGATCATACTGTGCTTGGCTAATGAAGCAGCCATGGTTTCAGAAGCGTAAGGAATACAATATTGTGAAGCTTATGTTTGAATCAAACCCACCACAGCTTAAGACAGATAAATCAGACGAATCGAAAGAGGAGTCAGTAAGAGAGATTCTTAATTCAATCGATTTGGATGCGCCATTGAGCTTTAAGTATTGCAAAGCAAATACCATTGAAGATTTTATTTACAATCCTTCGAGTTTTATCATTGGTCAATCTTGGTTTAAGAAGCGTCCGGAGTATCATATTCTTCGTCGGATTAATGGCCGTGCCCTACCTAAGCGTCAATGCCGTGATCCTAATCACAACTTTTATACGATGGAAAGATGTCATCTTTGTGAAAAACGATTGATTGAGGATGAAGAGATTTATTTAGAACAAGAGGCGCTTTACGAAGCTGAGTCAGGTAGAAAGCTAGATGATGAAATTACCAGGAGTTTGGGTTTGTCATTGTATTTTCTTCTACCGTATTATACCAAAGCCAAAATGAATGTAATGCGCAAGGGTTTCCCTAAGCATAAAGCATATTTCAAATCTCATATCGCTCAAGAACTAATCGCAGTCACTATGCATCCAAACCGCATCCAAGATCAAATGAATCAGTTCGATGATATTGAGCAATACTTCACAGGTATGGGATACTAATTAATGAACCAACAACTTTTTTATGTCTCCTATCAAAGATTAAAAAATTGATGATTTAGTGAAGCTCACTGAGTTCTTTCACCAAACGTGGACACTTCTCAGTAACAAACTTGTTTTACGAAGCCAATCAGTATAGTTAGGATCAAGCGCATGAACTGTTTTAAGTTTTCTGTTTTTGTACTTACCAAAATTCATAACATAACCATCATCATCTGTTAACTTTGATTCAAGAAATTTTAGCATAGCATCATTTATTAAATTTGGTTGGTTCTTCAGCCAGCGGCAATAACCAGGATCAGAAGCAAATACTTCTTCAATGGTCTTACCTTTAAATTTTCCGAAACTTAACTCAGTCGACATGTTGGTCATATATACAGATAGGTATAAGAAACAATAAATTTAATTAATTAATTTAGATGTTAGATACTTCACCAGTAAGGCGATCGATATCTAGGGAGCGCTCATACACGACAAGGACAAGGATATTCATACCGGTAGCGCATCCGTTAATTCCGCTTACTTGAACGCTTTGCGGGACATCCTTTTCACTGACGCGCCAGCAATCAGCAATTAGAACACGATGATCATATGCCCAGTTATTGGAATCGATTAAACCATTGCAAATCTCACGAGAATAATCACCGTTGATAGCCGCTAGCTTCGAGAATTCATCTTGGAAGTTTTCATTGTCATATTCATGAGTTTTAGAGAATACGTTCGAAGTACCAATCGTTACTTGGAAGTTTCGAATGCTTGCACCACCAAGGAGCGCTGTCAAAAGGAGATTAGAATTGTTGAGTACCATGAGCGCTAGCGAAGTGACCCTTCGACGTTTCAGCAAATGGAAGCAGAGCAACATATTTGATGTTTTTGAAAGTACCAGATAGTTGAAAGTTGAAGTTAGCATTGAGTTGTCCTTCAATGGTATCGGGCGTCATACCAGCGCGATTGGTGAAGTATTGAGCATAAACATCATTAAAGCGAATATGCTTAATTGGTTTGTTAATAATCGCAGTAGGATTACGTAGATCATAGAAAGGAATGTTTAGACGAGTAGTAGTGTAAGGCACATAGTTACTAACATCGGCAACGGTAGAGTAATCATTTTGAAGAACGCCAAACGAGAAACCGACTTGTTTGCCAGCGTCTAGTACAGAATTCATAGGTTGTCCTGTTCCGGCACCGGAGATCATAATAGGGCAAGTCTGACCAGAAGTCATGGTCACACTATCTAATTTCATCGTAGAAGCCGTCCCGCTAATTTTTTTACAGTACCAGTATTAAAGCGAAGGCAAAGCTTGAACTGAGGGTTCGAAATTAAATTGAGCTCTTTGAATAGCGGATGAAGATCTACAAGACGAATCTTGAGCATATAGATCCACCGTCCTAAAATACCAGTCGTTGATGCATCAGCAGCAGCCGATTCCCTGAAGCAACCTTTAGCATTTTGAATAACGATGTTATTCGTAGCAGTTGTACCCATTGATGCCCATCCCCAAGAAGGCGTGGCTTTCGTAGCATCAACATCGTAGTGAGACGATTATAGTGGCCGGAGTTAAAAGCTTTATTTTCCTGAGCCTGACTTATCGTAGAGTCAAGAGACGCGTCGAGTGCTACTTGGTTATTAGAGTAACCATCACCAGCGGAATGAGCAATACCCGAGAAATTAATCGAATACCAATCGTCAGGATATACGAACGAATCAGCACCGTGCTTGTTAATATCATCTAGCGAACGTTCTGTTTCAGCGCGTAGATTATTCCAGAACATGCGGTATTCTCCATCAGATAGAACAGTCTGTCCATTCATTTCTAGGCTTGGCGAATCAACAACATTAGTTACATTACAATTGAGAGAACGAGCAAATCGACTTAGACCCGATGTAATAGCAGTGGTTCCAGTGGTCTTACCAGTTATAACATAAGGAACCATGATATAGGCATCCTTAAGAGATGCGTAGCCCTGAGATCCAGCAGTAGCTGTAGCATCATAAGTAACGCTACCAGAGGTATAACTACCCTGTTGAAGGTCCGGTAGCACAACCACCTTCTTTCCTTTCGTGACATCAACGATAGGTTCACTCTTTAGCGAGCTCTGTAGAATAAATTCATCCGATAGCTGAGTAACGTCAGTCACGATGAAATGATAAACTTAATACTATATAAGAATATCTATACTAGATAGAAAAATAATTAAATGGCTCATTTAATCAAAGGTGTTACTAGTGATTCAGATTTAACTGAATTAGCTAATATTCTTGATATTGATATAAACGGTATATACGAGCTTTCTGAAATCCTTAACCCGCTTCCAAAGAAAGGTTTATACTTGATCTTGCTTCGCAAAGACAGCGATGTTGGCCATTGGGTATGCGTTAATGACAATGCATATTTTGATTCAGCAGGATCCCTTCCACCTACAATATTTGGTAACTTAGACTATTCAACATTCCAGTATCAAGGATCCTCAGACCAATTCTGTGGAATTTGGTGTTTACTTTAGCTTTACTGTCGTCAGCATAAAAAAATGAATCTAATGAAGAACTTCACTGATTTGAACATAGACGTTTTTTACTCAAGTCTAAACGAAGCACCTTGCTTTGAAGCTTTGCTTGCTCCGCCCTTCCGCATAGCGCGTAGTTTCGCCATACGATCCTTTGCAGCCTGAGATCCTATAACCATACGACCTTTGGATGAAGTTTTCATGCCAATGCCAGTTCTTTTTTTAAAGTTCTTTCTTAGAAGCCCTACCAACATAGGGTTTTGACCGCGCGATACCACAGCCGCTGACGCAGCATTTGCTAACTGATCAACACCTACCAATAGCATCGGTTTAATTACAGGATTCCATGCTGATTTGATACCAGATCAATTTTTCCCCCAAATAGAGGCTCCATGCATACCAGAGCCACTCTTCTCAATAATAGGGTGTTCGATCTCATGCTTGGTGATGAAAAGACGAACTCCCTTGTTAGCCTTTTTTGCTTTCTGAGCTTTGCTATACGATTCAGGCTGCACATGAAGAGTAGCCCCAGAACCGTTTAGCTCCTTCTTAGTTAGATTTAGTTTACCATCCTTCACCGCTTTACGCAGCTTAGCGATAGGGACTTCAGATGAAATCGATAATTCCTTATACATTCTTATAGTTCGATCTATATCACTGAAACTATAAAATAATTCATTTTTTTATTTGGATTTTGACGAATTGATAATCCAATTAGCATGTTGCTATCATTGAATTTGACAAATCTTTCATCTTGGTCAACGATCGTAATTCTAACTGAATTAAAAGATCCATCCGGAATACTGACCCAATTAAACTCATTTGGACGATAACTTATAAGCTGACCGATAGTCGTACCAGCGGTATTAAATGTAGTCAGTATATCATCCGGAATAGAGTATGGATTTTTTACTAAATTACAGCGTACTTGATAACACGCGGTAGGGTTAATTTGCGGTGAGATTGGACTTAGAAAAGATTGTTTAGTGTAAACGCTTGACGTCGGCCATTGACCAAGAGGAAATCCAATGATAGAACCAAATTCCTCATTATCAATAACAAGCTTTGGCGTATACGGAAAAGAGGTGGGAAGACCACTTCCGGCAGAAGAATATAAACAGCTAGGCGGTCTAGTGTAAGTTCCTAATGCTGTTGGAACGGGGAGTAAATCGATCTGAGCAGAGTAAAAAGTTGGGGTTTCGCTTAGGTTGAAGAAATACACATTATTCCCATTCGAATCAATCAAGTATGCGCCAGCTGAAATGCATGCGGCTTGGACAGCTGAGTTTATGTTTGCATAGCTATAATAACCGCTTGATAGGGTAATTTGAACAGTTGAGAATGTACGTGCGGTAGGCATCAATAGCTTGAAAGTGTTGTTTTCATACGTATCAGAATCAATGTTAAATTGCGAATTGTAAATGTTAATACTCTCTACAGCAATCTGAGCATTCTTGAAATTTACTACAGAGCCTCTAACGTTGTAGTGAAGCTGATTGTTGTACCCATTTTTGACTATAGTTTTAGACGAAAGCGTAATGTTGGATGACATATTTCTAAATTAGGGATTAAATTAATTTAAAGAATTTGGATCAATTACTCTATTGAAGTTAAATCTAAGCTCACCGCGAATTGAATCTACAAACAAAGCCTGACCTTTGCTCGATGTAGCTAAGTCATATGATTTAATTAGTCTTGATTCATCAATGTTCTTAATGTTAAAATCCTTTGTAACCATTTTTAGATCACTTTTAGAATTGGCTCGTATAATAGCTACGTATTCGCTATTTAGCCGTATCATCTTTGGCGTTGCAAAGTAACTATGAACAAGACAGATTGTGCTTAGCTTAACCCCTCTAACCCCGTATTCTGTATCCTACAGAATAAGCATTGTCACAGGACATAATATCCAGCAAACTTGTCCTCTCTTTCGAATTTCGCATATGGATGTTTGTATAGCCGGTATTGTGCACATCTTCCTGTTAGATTAGCGATGGGAAGATAAACGGGGTTTATTCCGCGGTAATAGACGGACGAGTATAAACCACCAACAGGTTTGAAATTCGGGTGGAAGCCTAAAACCGCCGCGTGTCAGCCACTCGTATTTTCCTTCATTCCGAAACTGCGCTGTTCAAGACGTCGCAATACAAGCTTTGTTGGGGCCCGTCGAGCGCGCCCAAGTGGCCAAGGACCATGGCCGAAGACGATCATGATGAGCGCCATTGTGATCTACAGGGAAGCGAGAGCGTGTACTTTGCTCTGTAACATTGTACTAGTGGTATATTGATTCTACGTTGCGATGTTGATTACCAGACCTGGTGATCCGACCCAGACGACGCTATGAGCTCTCGCGTGTGGCCCGATTGGCAGATCGATTGCGGAGTCAGCGCACAACCTCATCGGTTCCTACGAAGCCGGCTACAGCCGGGTCTACCGCTATATTGTAGCTGATGCAGTGGCTACTCAAGAGGCTACAGAAGAAGCGCTCCTCATGGTGTGGCTACACCGGAGACTACAGAAGAAGCGGTAGATGCTACGACGGATGCTACAGAAGAAGCTCTCCGCGTGATGAGGTTACACCGGAGATTACAGAAGAAGGGATAGAGGCTACGACGGAGGCTACCGATGAAAGCGGCAGGAATGGAGCGGCAGTGCCGGAGGCTACAGAGCAAAGCGGAGGCTGCCAAAATGGCGATGATGGCCCACGGCTGGCGCGAACATTGAAGAGCGTGCGCACGTGAATGTGTTGTTCGCGGCCGCGGCCAGCTCCGCCGGTACGATTCGAGCCGCGTACGCGACCGGCAATAGTTTGTAGGCACTGCGTACATGCAGTAGAACGGCCAACACCGCCGAGAACGGCGGCTATCGGCAGCCTGCCGCTGCCAGTATCGACCCTCAGGTCTAGATCTAGATAATGTGGCAAAATGTGTTGTTCGCGGCCAGCTCCGCCGGCACGATTCGAGCCGCGCACGCGACCGGCAATAGTTTGTAGGCACTGCATACATGCAGTAGAACGGCCAACACCGCCGAGAACGGCGGCTATCGGCAGCCTGCCGCTGCCAGTATCGACCCTCAGGTCTAGATCTAGATAATGTGGTAAAATGTGTTGTTCGCGGCCAGCTCCGCCGGCACGATTCGAGCCGCGCACGCGACCGGCATTAGTTTGTAGGCACTGCATACGTGAAGTAGAACGGCCAACACCGCCGAGAACGGCGGCTATCGGCAGACTGCCGCTGCCAGTATCGACCCTCAGGTCTACCAGTTCACAGCAGTCAGCTCCGCTCACCGCGTCGCTTGCTCGGGTGTAGAATGTATCCATCTATGTTGCTGCTGGCCCCCACCAGGTCGCTGCTGGCGGCCACCATGTCGCCACCGCAAAGCGTTATGCAGACATACTGTACCATAGACCTCCAACATTGCTTAGAGAGGGGGGGGGGGATTAAGTTTGCCGACTCTGCGCTTGACATGCGGCGCGCCTCCAAGGACGCGCGCCTTTGTACGGCCGAGCTGCGGTTACGCGGCGTGATGATCGGTACCTACGCGCGCTCGCTCCGCCGACGAAGATGCGCCTGGTGTGTCGAAACTCGCTTCTCGGGGCAGCCGCCTTACATGTAAATACAGCGTCTTACACGCCATTAAAAATGATTAGATATGACGAGTAAAATATTGTAGAGGACCAATAAGAATAGTTTGATATCAACATATTTTAAATAATTTGTACGGTACTACAAAAATATCAGCTTTAGGGTTTAGTCGCTATCAGTTATTAGAGAACCTCAGACGCCGAGCCTAGATTAAAAAATCAACCAAAATAAGCTAATTTGGGCACGAAGGACCCTGGATAAATGATATTGGGGTCGTGAACACCTAAAATAAGCCGGCCCAAGGACCCTAAAGGACCCTGGGATGAACGTTCATCCGGGTCGTAATATATATAGGACCCTGGGATGAACGTTCATCCGGGTCGTAATATATAGTCCTAAACCCTAAACCCTAGACCTTTTTTCACAAACCTTAAACTTTCACATTACTTTTCACTTCTTTTTTTCCTCTTTTACTAACCATTACACAATATATTTACTTACACCTATTTTTTTCTTTCCTTTTTCTTTAAACCTTTTATCTACCTCCCTTTTTACATCCCATTTACTTTCATTCATCTACCTATTTACTTACCTCTCACATTTTTCTACTTAATTCAACCACTCTTTCCTTTAACCTTTTAATATAATTCACATTTATCATTTTTACCTCCATTTTTTTCTACATTTATATTATTTACCATTTTTACCACTATTTACTCTTATTCTTTCTCTCAACTATCCAAATCCCTTTTTAAACTTCACCATTTTCAATCAAACACATCGTTCCTAATCAGACACTTATTTTTCACACATTTTTTTCTAAATCAACTTACTTACTTCAACTACTACCTATTTTATACATATTCAACATTATCCACCACCTCCATATTATTTTCCAACCTCATTTTCACTTTTCATTTTATATCCACCATCCAACAACACATATCCTCCTTCTCATACACTTTTTACATACCACATTCCACAACAACTACCTCTATTTAACTACCATATTCTCCCTCTCTATCCTACAACCCATCCTATCCAACTTATCTACTCTCTTTTCTCAACATCAATATCCTTTTTACATTTTAAATACGCCATTAATCCTCACCATCTCATTTACAAAATCCACATCTACTTCCACCTTATATAACTATATTCAACCACCACATACCTCCTCTTCATCCTACAACCCACTTTTCTCCACCACCCCCACTCTCATTTCTCAACCTCATTATCCACTGTTCACCTCATATCCACCATCAACCTACATCTCTCCCACTTCGCACACACCATTTACACACACATCATACCTACTTCCCCCTCTACTACATCCATCCAACCACCAACCCCCTTCTCTTGCGTGGGGTGGCTCACGGGATGCGTCCGGCCATGGCGATACCGTTTGCGCTCTAATCTACGGCCAACGTACCATTGGTGCCATCGTTAGGGGTCATGTAGCCACTGGTGGTGGGCTACGCCGCGGTCCGGAAGCGACGTGCGATCGCCGCGGGTGGCCTTCATTCCCCCCCACCGACATCGCCAGGGTCGAATGACCCCGCACGAGGTTCATTGGGTATATCTGACACGGTCGCCAGGGTTACCTCCGCCACCTCGGACGCGTCCCCAGCGTGTTTAACCCTCGCGAACCGTGTTGGCGACGGGCGGGGAGGTTGGTGCGCCCGCTAGCACGGTCGTAACGCGAGATTGCCGAGGTGGCCATCTCAGGTGCAGCTCCAGCCCACATCCATCAGCCAGCAGCCCCTGCCGCAGAGTGCCTGTCCGCCTGGATGAACCTATCCGACGCTACATCGTGGTCGGTGAGTACACCGCGGTCTGGAAGCGACTCGTAAGCGTTTAGTCTTTTTCGTGATGGTGCCGGCAAACCCGGTGTGCGGACTACGGCCCAAAGAAGTAATATCGGCCCTCCTGTGGGATAGCGCATGCCTTGTAGAGCCGTACGCGAGATACAACTTCGATCCAGTGTGTGTCAACTTCGTGTGTGCTGCCTCTTGATGACGCTATAACCGGACATGCAACGTGGTCCAGACCTCCGTTTACATGCCGCGTGCGAGCTGCACAAGCACGAGCGGATTTGGCCGACTTTACCCTTCAAATGATTACATATAGGTCAACCACACGGCCAATCACTCTGAAGCAAGGGGTGGCGGCCGGTGGTGGTGGGACGGAGCTGCGCCTGAGATCGACACGAGCATATTTGACTTTCGGGTAAGTATCGATGCACGAACGGTTGTGTCGATTTTACTATTTGTGCTAAAATTAACGGGAGGGTTTGTGGGAGCACGCTATATAATCGCCTGAGGGCTATCTAGCAGCCATGCCCACCGGTAAATATTATTATTCCTGTATAACTAGTCGGACTCAGATTATTAATTAACACATGCTATTTTTGAATTCATACTGATAACATGTACTGTAAAAACGCAGTACTGCTTTAGAAAGGTTGGAAGTTGTGCTGCATACAGGATTTTAGTGTGTACCACAAATGTATGCGAGTGGTGAGACAAAAATTCAGAACACGATGTAACAACTTTGTTCAACCAATAGGCTGCACGCAACACATTTTCACTCTGGACGAGAACAACAGAAGAGAAGTATCCGAGCCCCACACCTCACACCCCTGCCAGCTAGGCGACAGTTAAGCTATTGACCATCTCGCCTGCTACATATAATTGGTATTTCGGCGCTAACAAAGGTATCGCTCTTTTACTGTGGCTGGACGATTGTGGATCCTGTGTGGAAGTACTGGGGCATCATTTTATTTCAACCTCGACGGTGGATTAGTGGCAGTTGAAGGCACTAGTGTTTCGGAGGCCGTGGTGCGGCAATACCGCATAAAGGAGTTGATCTACTCTGTGTAACTTTTCGTACGAGTTTCGGTGGAGTTTGATGTTGGCATAAGTGGTGTTGTCTCGTATTACGTTGTGGTGAGGGTTTTCTGGAGGCGACGTGGTGGTTGTGGCGTGGGAAGGTGGCACATGATGCCACAGTCAGAGGTCACAAATGGCGGGTTGTTTACGTGCGAAAAATGCTCATGTGAGTTAGCCTCGCAAGAAGCACGACGATATCACGTCCGCAATGAGCACCAAGAAGTCGCAAAGTGTGTGGTTTACGATGTAGGTAATCCTCCTATTACGCACTTGGTCAAACGCGTAGAAGGTGTATTCAAATGCCCACAATGCAAATATTTCTCGAGCGATCCCAAACTTTTGCGCCAACACACCAAGTCGTGCAAGAATTCACC